AGCTTTTATTATTTTCATAATTGAAAAAATTGTATATGCTTATCAACGCAGGCTATCGTAACTTTTCACTAATGTTATCACGAATATTTTACTTAATTTTACTTTATTTGCTCAAAAGATTTATCTACCAGCAGTTACTTAACTCACGTCTGAAAATTCTATTACATTTATGTGTGTAACCACAATTAATGCTGTAATAATTTAAAAAATTGTGATAAATAATAAAATTATTAATCAAACATGATTATGTTTAAGTATCACCAGAATTTTATTTATCTCATTATTACGTCATTTCATAGTTTTAAGTGGATACTATTAAAATAAAAAGATTATAAACTACATAAATTGGAGATTAATAGTAAAATTAACACAAAATGTCGAAAAATTGCTGATGTGATTATAATGCTCATCAAACTTTATAACAAGACAACATTTTATGTTTCTGAAAGTAGTCGATCAAAAAACAATTGTAAAAGATTACAGTATATTAAACAATTGTAATACCTAATATACGAGAGAGAGAGAGATTTACAAGAGTTTTTCTATTCACCGGAAGGCTTTATTTTATATTGCAATAATGGATTAATTTCTTCTATCTAATGTTTTATTTAAGTAACAAAATGTGCTAGCTAAATTATCTTTTTATTTACAATCTGTAATAAATGATAAAAATGCCCATGACGTGTATTTATTGATTACATGTTTCACTCATAGTGAAATCACGTGTTCTGATGATCTTGATCGCTTCGGTCTTCGTATTAGGTCTGAGATAACAATAGCAATTTGATCAGACAAAGGGCAAATGTTTATCTTGCATATCATAATAATAACTAAAATTGATTAGCCATGAAGAAATGTAACGTAAATAAAATATACTTTTTCATCATAACTTAATCTACGTTGAAATCATTACAAAGCAGATGCATCAAAAATACATTGTATATTATTTCTACTGCACATGATCCGGCAATACCTAGCTATATAAGGTATGTATAATATTTTATATCATCTTCGTTAAATGGGAAGTTCTAATCAAAAAATGAATAATTGATGAATACTGCATTAATGAAACATTAATATCAAAACATTTTCTTTCTCTTTTTCTCTGCTATAAAAATGATTGCTGTAAGTAAAATTATCTTCAGCATAAAAAAGGCAATTTAACTGCAATTTAACTGCAATTGTTTCACCATGAATAAAATGCGATCAAGGATATGATAATAATAATTTCCGTAATTACACTATACGCAATTATACTACGAAAATAACAATATATATATCATTATCGTTGTAAATCGGCAAAGTACATTGCAAATTGTCTTCGCGAGACAAGCGTTATTTTCGATTACGTCGAGCTTTGTCGTGATCCGAAACGATGAACGGCGTGATTTGGAGTAAAACGCAGAAAACTTTCGTGCCAATCTCCAGCGTGCCGATATTTGCCATGCTGCAACAAGAACGTCTTAAACAAAGTCGAGCACTAGAAACCCACAATTTCCAACTGCGCAACTTGACTCTAACATCCTTCCAGGTATACTTCCATAAAGCTTAAATGGCTGAATTTTTTGATTTATTTTACGACATCTCTACACTTCTCTCATTAAAATTAATATTCAATAATTAATATAATAGTACGATAATTCTTATTTATAAATCTTTATATTTCGAAAAATGTGCATATCTGAAGCTATCCATAAGTATATATAAACTTTATTTGTAGTTTCAATTTATTGAAAGAAAAATTTCTGAAAGAAAATAAAATGAGATAATTAATATATTCATGTGGACCAAATAGTAAGAAAAATGTCGTATTTTTAAAACGGCGACTATGATAATGTAAAAAAAAATTTCTTCTATACTGTAAAAAACAATATTAAATTATTTATTATTCTTACAACTTTAATAACGTTATATAATTTATTAAAATTTGCAAACTAAGAAATTTTACTGAAGTTAGAAATAAAACTGACAGTGAAGACTGGAGAATAATTTCTTCATGTACTCTAGGAACGGCGGTTCTTCGAATTTTACGATAACGATATGAAAGTTACAGGATTCTGCGGCGAATTGTGGACTCTCCTTTCTGAAAAATTGAATTTTACGTAAGATTAAACTATAATTCAAACCATGATTTATTGTATTAGAAGATTGTTAACGAAGCTAACAATAAACTAATATATATGTATAGTCAAAGAATACTTCATGTTCTTAGATTACAACCAGTAAGATCAAATGAAACTAATGTGATGGGTGTATCGTCGAAAAACGAGCCCATTTTGGAGCGAGGATTATTAGGTGTAATTATGCGCAATGAAACTATCGCGATTCCAAAAATCGAAATTAACAATTTTCGACATCAAGCTGCTGATTTTACAATGCCTTTATGGATGAATAGGTATGCTTTAAGTGTTCCGCTTCACGATGATATTTTCTAAAATAAAAAATAAACAATGCAACTTTTGAAAAAAAAGACATGTAACAACGTATAAAATTGATTCTTATAAATCCCAGGATAATTACAACAATCTTATGATAATTTTTGCAGCCATCGATTATATATTCAAAATGAAATAGTACACGACAGCACATGGATGGCAAGAGTGTTCTCCTGGAAAATATGGTGCTGTATATTGGTTATGTGTCTGTTATTAAGCGTATGCAGTTTTTGGTCACAAATTATTCTCGCACGGATCGGAAATAATTGCAGACGCTCGACCATTAGCGATCATATCTTTTACACCTTTGGAATGATCTGCAATCAAAGTATGAATGATTAATATAAATATATGTTACATCCTGTTTCTATTTTTTAATTGTAGCTAACTTAAAAGGCAACGCAGATATCATATCATGTCACATTTATAAACATTGCGTGACATCTTCTTCCAAAATTTTGTATAGAGTTCACGTGATTTGAAAGTCAGATTTTTAATTTTATGAATGCGCCATAATTATTATATAAGCGAAAGTTAACTTAATTTTTAAATAATACAAAAATGACGTGTTATAATATTGCGAAATCCTTACCGAAATAAAATAATTTTGAATCGTGTAATAATGAAAAATTATATTAATTTGAGTAATAATTGTAACAGGCAATATTCCCGATGTTCTTGTCGGAAGATCAAGAATATTAGAAGCATCGCTGGGCCTCTTTTGTTCTATATTGTCGATGGCATTTGGAGCTTTGTTATACATTTATATAGCAAAGAGAATTAACGTTATACCGCCATTCAATAATCTAGAGTCTCTGCTGACCGATACTTCATATGACGTTGTCACTTTGAAAGGTACTACTGGAAATATCGCGTTACAGGTATTAATAAAATACGTTTGATATAATTTATTTTGTGTTTATTAGATTTATTTATAATTTATTAATCTTCAAATTACATCAAGTATACGTATAGATATTGGCTATTTAAAAAATGTATTAGGTAAGCACTAAGGAACCTTACATACTGGTAAGAACTGCAGAACGCGTCGTTGTTGCACCAACAGACGAAGAAATGTTTAAATTGGCATGTATACAAGGTAAAAGGAAGTATACCGTATTCCTAGGTGAAAACGAATATAAAGCAAAAGGTAAATTTGGATGTGAAGTGATCCCAGTTGGACAATCTTACTTGAAAATGTGGGTAGCTTCCGGCATTGCGAAGAATTTTAAGTACAAAAGGACCATCGACCTTGGGTAAAAAGCAATTACAATACCATCGTATACAATGCTAACGTGCTATATGAACAAGTAATTTTTATGTACAGGATACTCAGATTAAAAGAAGTTGGATTGTGGAGTGTGTTAATAGATCGTTGGTGGACGGAAGAAAGTGAACATCGTTATAATGCTAAAGTAAAAACGATTAAAATAGAGCAAGTTTCTTTAATAATTTTAATAATGTGCTGTGGAATGATAACATCTTTTATTATTTTGTTAATTGAAAAAATTGTATATGCTTATCAACGCAGGCTATCGTAACTTTACATTAATGTTATCACGAATATTTTACTTGATTTTACTTTATTTGCTCAAAAGATTTATCTACCAGCAGTTACTTAACTCACTGAAAATTTTATTATATTTATGTGTGTGACCACAATTAATGCTGTAATAATTAAAAAACTGTAATAATTAATAAAATTATTAATCAAACATGATTATACATATATGAGTATCACTAAAATTTCATTTCTCTTATATGCTTTTATTTATCTCAATTACGTCATTTGATATTCTACGAATATACATAACTTATTGTTAGTTTTAAGTGGATGCTGTTAAAATAAAAAGATTATAAATTATATAAATTCTAGACTAATAGTAGAATAAACAACGCAACTTGTCATAAAATTGCCGATATGATTATAATGCTCATCAAACTTTGTAACAAAACAAGCATTTTATGTTTCTGGAAGTTTCAAAAAAACAATTTATAAAAGATTACAGTATATTGAACAATTACCTAATACGAGAGAGAGAGAGAGAGAGAGAGAGAGAGAGAGAGAGAGAGAGAGAGGGATTTACGGGAGTCTTTCCATTCACCGGAAGGCTTCATTTTATACTGCAATAATGGATATCAATTTGTTCCAACTATAATGTTTTATTTAAATAACAACACGTGCTAGCTAAATTATCTTTTTATTTACAATCTGTAATAAATAAAAAAAATGCCCATGACGTGTATTTACTGATTATATGTTTCACCCACAGTGAAATCACGTGTTCTAATGATCTTGATCGCTTCTCGGTGTTCGCATTAGCTGTGAGATAACAAATTGACGCGCCATTAAGGCACCGAGCAATTGATCAGACAAAATGTAAGCAATTTGCTCAGACAAACGACAAATGTTTATCCTGCATATCATAATAATGACTAAAATTGATTAATCATGAATAAATATAACATAAATAAAATATACTTGCATCATATCTCAATCTTCGTTAAAATCAGGCAAAGCAGGTGCATCGAAAACATTGTATATTTCTACTGTACATGATCCGGCAATACCTAGCTATATAAGGTATGTATAATATTTTATATTCTCTTCGTTAAATGGGAAATTCTAATAAAAAAATGAATAGTTGATGGATACTGCATTAATGCAACATTATAATACATAACCATTTTTTTTTCTCTTTTTCTATAAAATGCTATAAAAATAATTGCTGAAGTTAAGGAGGTTCGATGGCTACAACAAAATGCAGAGAGTTTCATAAAATTTTAATATGTTGCTCTGGAATGCAAAATAGAATTATGTGAATTTATTAGGAATTTTTCACCGTCCCGTTTTGAAAAAAATCTACTCCAAAAATTTAAAAAATACAATTTTTGGATTAAATTTTTTTCAAAACGGGACGGTGAAAAATTCCCCAAAAATTCACATAATTCTATTTTGCATTCCAGAACAACATATTAAAATTTCATGAAACTGGCTGCATTTTTAACATAGGTTTTTATGGGAAATAACATATTGCATATACCTTCAGAATGAAATAAGTGCAAGAAAAAATGCAAATGATAAAGAAAAAGAAATTTGCACATGTAACTTAATAATTTACAAATAAATGAGCAAAAGAAAGGGGAAGGTTACCGCACATTTCGTAGAAAAATTAATTATTAAAGCCTAAATTGCTTGATTTTTCGTCTGCATAGACTGTCATGGTCGTGAACGACGTGAACAGCAGCACGCATTATACACGCGGCGACCAATCAGAGCAATCCCCTTCATTCCCACTACTTCAAACGCTAGTGCGCTGTTTCCAGAACCCCCGCGTCCCACTACTCCCTCCGATGAAGCCATCGAACCTCCTTAAATTTATCTTCAGCATAAAACAGGCAATTTAACTGCAATTTAACTGCAATTGTTTCACCGTGAACAAAATGCGATCAAGGATACGTATGATAATAATAATTTCCGTAATTATACCACGCAATTATACTACGAAAATAACGATATATATATCATTGTCGTTATAAATCGGCAAAGCACATTGCAAATTGTCTTTGTGAGACGAGCGTTACTCCCGATTAAGTCGAGCTTTGTTATGGTCTGAAACGATGAACGGCGTAATTTGGAGTAAAACGCAGAAGACTTTCGTGCCAATTTCCAGCGTGCCGATATTTGCCATGCTGCAACAAGAACGTCTTAAACAGAGTCGAGCACTGGAAACCCACAATTTCCAACTCCGCAACTTAACTATAACATCCTTCCAGGTATGCTTCCATAAAGCTCAAATTTTTAGATAAATCCTACGATATCTATACACTTCTCTCATTAAAATTAATATTCAATAATAAATAGTACGATAATTCGGTTTTAACATAAATTTTTTTTATTAAAAGGTCTGATAGATTATGGCATATACTTTCTTTGTAAACTTTTTGAATTTTTGCAATATCTTCAAAATTGAAGAAAATATAGTACACGAAAGTGTGTTGTGACGTCATACTTTATATAAGAAATGACGTCATACCTTTTGAAATTGCCGACATCAAAGAAACTTTAGCAAGCTATAACTTTGGTTTTTTCAAAATTAGGTTTTTTTAAAAAATTCAAAAAGTACTAAAAATCGGCTTAGATTCTCTACATTAATTATGGATACCGCTTAATAAAAAAAAAATGTTAAAACCGAATTCTTATTTACAAACCTTTATATTACAAAAATATATATATATGTATATATATGCGAAGCTATCCATGAGTATTTAAACTTTATCTGTAGCTTCAATTTATTGTAACAGAAATTTCTGAAAGAAAATAAAATAAGATAATTAATAATATTGCGTGGACCAAGTAATAAGAAAAATGTCGTATTTTTAACACGGCAACTATGATAATGTAAAAAAAAATTTCTTCTATACTTTAAAAAACAATATTAAATTATTTACTATTCTTATAACTTTTTAATAAAAGATAAATACGTTTATTGACTCCCCTCAGGGTTGCAAGGCGTTTTCTAGGGACGTTCCCAACTTCCCAACCCTTCATTCAATTCTCATCCAATACTACCCTTCTCCTCTCACTTAACCCTTTGGACCAACGGCTTAACATCTCTTTCCGAAAGACGGAGCCCAGTTTGCTCCGCACAAGAGCCTAGACAGTAAAAACTGGAGAATAATTTCTTCATGTATTTTAGGAACCGCGTTTCTTCGAATTTTACGATAACGATATGAAGGTTACGGCACTCTGTGGTGAATTGTGGACTCTCCTTTCTAAAAAATTGAATTTTACGTAAGATTGAACAGTAATTTTTTTAAACCGCGATTTATTGTATTAGAAAATTGTTGACAATGCTAACAATAAACTAATAATAATCAAAGAATACTTCATGTTCTTAGATTACAGCCAGTAAGATCAAATGAAACTAGCCTGGGTGGGTCATCAAAAAACCAAACCGTGTTTGCGGAAGGATTGTTAGGTATAATTTCGCGCAATGAAACTATAGCAATTCCAAAAATCGAAATTTTCAATCTTCGACGTCTAGCTGCTGATTTTACAATGCCTTTATGGATGAACAGGTACGCTTTAAGTGCTTCACACGATGACATCTTCTAAAATGCTAAATAAAAATGATACAATGTAACTTTTGGGGAAAAAGAAACATAACATATAAAATTTATTCTTATAAATCCAAGGTTGTTATAATAATCTTATAATAATTTTACAGCCAGCGATTATATATTCAAAATGAAGTAACACATGACAGCACATGGATGGCAAAAGTATTTTCCTGGAAAATATGGTGCTTTATATTGGTTATGTGTCTATTATTGAGCGTATGCAGTTTTTGGTCACAAACTATTCTCGCACGGATCGGAAATAATTGCAGACGCTCGACCATTAGCGATCATATCTTTTACACCTTTGGAATGGTCTGCAATCAAAGTATGAATGATTAATATATAAATATGTCTCATCCTGTTTCTATTTTTTAACTGTAGCTAAATTAAGAGGCAATGCAGATCGATATCATATCATGTCATATCATCATATTTATGAACATCGTGTGACAAAATTTCTATCTGTGTATATCATACACTGTAAAAAAATTCTGTAAAATTACAACTATTATAGTGGGTAATTTTGAGACCCACTATAATAGTTGTAATTTTACAAAATTACAGTACGGAAGGAAAAAATAATTTTGTATTACAATTACACAAATTAAGAATGTGTGGAAATTTACACCTATTATAGTGGGTTTCAAATTACCCACTATAATAGTTGTAAATTTTACATAAATTTTTTACAGTGTAGAGTTCACGTGATTTGAGAGTCAGGTTTATAATTTTATGAATGCGCTATACTTAATGCTTAAATAACACAAAAATGGCGTGCTATAATTGCGAAATTCTTACCAAAATACAATAAAATAATTTTTAATCGTGCATTAACCCCTTCGTTGGCAGAGAGAATTCGACAAAAAGTGCCAAAAATGGCAAGAAAATTTTTTATCCTGAAAATTTGTACCTTGGGGTTTTTGAGGGCCCCTAATTACGAATCTGAACTTAAAATTCGAAAATTCAAAATGGCAAAATTCATCTCAATTAAGTAATTTTTTGCATTTTTATTTGCCATTTTGGATCCGCCATTTTGAATTTGCAAATTTTGAATTCAGATTCGTAATCAGCGACCCCAAAAACCCCCGTGTAAGACTTGGATGCCAAATCGAAGCAAGTTATAGAAAAAAAAGGTTGACGCACTTTTGCGTCAATGCCACACAGGGCACGGAAAAATTTGACGCACTTTTGCGTCAATGCCAACAAAGGGGTTAATGGAAAATTATTAATTTGTGTAATAATTGTAACAGGCAATATTCCGAATGTTTTCGTTGGAAGATCAAGAATATTAGAAGTATCGCTGGGCCTCTTTTGTTCTATATTGTCGATGGCATTTGGAGCTTTGTTATTCATTTATATAGAAAAAAGGATTAACGTTATGCCGCCATTCAATAATCTAGAGTCTATGCTGACCGATACTTCATATGACGTTGTTATTTTGAAAGGTTCTATTGGAGATATCGTGTTTAAGGTATTAATAAAATACGTTTGATATAATTTATTTTGTGTTTATTAGATTTATTTATAATTTACTAGCTGGTTACCCGGGCTTCGCCCAGGAGTCGTTTTTCTTAAACGACTTTATTTCTGTTTCAATATCCTTATTGTAGACAAACATAAAGAGTATTTATGAATTAAACATGTCGTAACCGGTCTTTTTCTACTCGAGTTTCACCCTATTGAGTTATTTCCGCTTTTCCGATATTTCACTTACCGATCAGCGGCAATTCCGTCGTATACAATTGTTTGAGATTCACTCAATTATTTCCTAAAAAATTGGAATTTCGTAATCGATTTTCAAAAAAATCGGTAACAAAAAAATTATACAGTTTATAGCACTCTCCGGGAAATTCTACCTCTGTTTTACATACAATTCTTTAAGATTCGGTCAATTATTTCCCAAAAAATGTAAAAAATTTCTGACACCGGTTTCTAACGAAATTCATGCGAGACAAAACGTCAATTCGTAACGGTATTCACTGAATACTACTTTTTATTTGAATTTAATTTCAATCTCAAATCGAACTTTTACAACAGGCATAATTTCCCGAAAAATTGAAAAAATTTCGGATACCGTTTCCCAAAAAGATCGGTAACGAAAAATTATACACTTTATGGCACTCCCCGAGAAATTCTACCCCTGATTCATACACAATTCTTTAAAATTCGGTCAATTATTTCCCGAAAAATTGGAAAAATTTCTGATACCGGTTTTCCAAAAAATCGGTAACAAAAAATTATACACTTTATGGCACTCCCCGAGAAATTCTACCCCTGATTCATATACAATTCTTCAAAATTCAGTCAATTATTTCCCAAAAAATTGGAAAAATTTTGGATACTGGTTCCCAAAAAGGTCGGTAACAAAAAACTATACACTCTATAACACTCCCCGGAAAATTCTACCCCTATTTTATATACTTTTGGTAAAAATTCGATCGAATAGTTTAAGAGTGTATAAAGAACATACATACATATATATATACATACATACTGCATACATTCTATTTTATATAGATAGATTAATCTTCAAATTACATCAAGTGTATGTATAGATATTGGTTATTAAAAAAAATAGGCGAACTTTAACAAACCGCTTACACTGGTAAGAACTGCAAAACGCGCTGTCATTGCATCAACAATCGAGGAAATGTTTAAATTGGCATGTATAAAAGGTAAAAGGAAGTATACCGTATTCCAAGGTGAAGACGAATATAAAGCAAGAGGAAAAATTGGATGTGAGGTGATTCCAGTTGGAGAATCTTACTTCAAACTGTGGGTAGCTTCCGGTATTGCGAAAAATTTTAAGTACAAAAGGACCATCGACCTCGGGTAAAGAGATATCGGCGGCGATTATAATACAATCGCATGTATAATGCTGACATGCTATGTGAATAAGTAATTTTTATGTACAGGATACTCAGATTAAAGGAAGTTGGATTGTGGAATAAGTTAGTAGATCGTTGGTTAACGGAGAAAAGTCAACGTCATAATAATGCCAACGTAGAACCGATTGGGATAGAGCAAGTTTCTTTAGTAATTTTAATGATGTGCTGTGGAATGATAACAGCTTTTATTATTTTGATAATTGAAAAAATTGTATATGCTTATCGACGCAGACTATCGTAACTTTTCACTTATGCTATCACGAATATTTTACTTAATTTTACTGTATTTGCTAAAAAAATTTATCTACCAGCAGTTACTTAACTCACGTCTGAAAATTCTGTTACATTTCTGTGTGTAAACCACAATTAATAATAATTAAAAAATTGTAGTAAATAATAATAGTATATTGTGCACCAAGGGGCGAAAGTAGCGTTTTTTAGACGAGTGTGAAAGCTTTCGACCCGAGGTGCACACAATATTTTTCACAACACCTCTTTACGGAAATGTTCGACTTTTGAATGCCTGTAGAGTGTATGCGTTTGATGTTCCATTCATACAGTTTATACGCGCGTGTAGTTAAATAGAAAAAGAAAAAGAGAGTGATATGCGGTCCAGAGACGAAGCCCTGGTGGGGTCCAGGGACGAAGCCCCTGGTGGGGTCCAGGAGCGAAGCCCCTGGTGGGGGGAAGTGTGGGGGCAAAGCCCCCTACATAAAAAAAATAAAATTAAAATAAAATTTAAAAATATATATAAATAATTATAATTTTAAAATGACAATAAAATTTCCAAAAAATGTAAGAAATATAATTTTTAGAATATAATTAAAGAATATAATTTTTACAAAAAATAAGCATTAATTAGTGAATTTAATATTTACACTACAATTTTGGAATTGAAAGATTGGATTATTTCCTCTATTTTGTATTTTAGATAGTAAGTAACTTTACGCGACGCTATATGCACATGCGCATTGTGGGCGATTGAGATCCACTACCTTTCTCTCTTGCACAATGTACGTTTCTCTCTCGCACGATGCTCAATTTCCCTTCCATTTATGGGAGCTTTCCAGCAAGCGACACAAGTCGACACAAACGTCGTTTTATCTTTCTTTTTTGGCAATGAGTAACAAAGACAAAACGACACTGTTGGAAAGCTGCCTATATATGTTCTAAGATTTGCCCGTTACTTTATAGGCCAGTCAAATTAGACATTTGAGGTCTAAAGTAATGCGAACTTTTTTATTCCTTTTTAGGCGTGTTGGGGGTGTTTAGAAAAACTTATTTTTGAGTTGTCGTATCATGAGACCCAGAACTTTTTGAGGGGCTCAGTATTTGACGAATCGGAACGAGTCACCGCTCATTTTCTTCGTTTTTTAAGTCCTACAACTTTCTCAGGAGCGAAAAAGTGCTATCTATTAATCAAAACGAGATAAATGCAAAAAACCGCGAAAATTTTATTTTTTCCCTCTTTCACAGGCTAAAACTCGAAAAATATTGATTTTAGGTTGAGGGTCTTCTTAAGATGAATTGTAGGGCTTTAAAAAAGCTACAAAATGAGGAGTTAGTCATTAATTTTTTATCAACATTCGCCGAGTTATTGCAAAAAAACGAAAATTTTGGTTCCCCCTCCTCCCCCCCTCAAAAAGCTCTGGGTCTCATGATACGACAACTCAAAAATAAGTTTTTTTAAACACCCCCAACACGCCTAAAAAAGAATAAAGAAGTTCGCATCATTTTAGACCAAAAGCCTCTTTTTTGTCTAATTTGATTGGCCTATTACTTTCCGCCCGCTAAACAGGTAGGAAAGTGATCACTTTCCGCCCTAGGGAAGAAAGTGACCACTTTCGTCCCTGTTTAGCGGGCGGAAAGTAACAACTTTCCTCCCTGGCGTGAAATTGGCCACTTTAATCCCACTCTATACAGGCATGGAAAGTCGAACTTTCCGTGGAGGTGTTGTGAAAAATCATTAATGAAACATGATTATATAGATAAACGGGGGGTAACCCCAGACATTATTGAAATTCAAATATCCCGCGTATCTATGGCCGGTATTCATAGTCGGTTCTTATATTTAAGACCATCTTAAGTACAATCTTAAGATGTCACTAACCAATCACAGAGCCGTATTAGCATCTTAAGATATTACTTAAGACGATCTTGAAATAAGATCTGATTATGAATACCGGCCTATGACCATTGTTTAAACATTCTAATATGCCCTTCTGCGTATCTCGACATATGCAGAATGTTTGCCATAGATACGCGGGATACTTGAATTTCAATAATGTCCAAGGCTACCCCCCATTCCCCTATGGATATCATTAAAATTTCAATTCTCTTATACGCTTTCATTTATCTTAATTACGTCATTTAATATTCTAAGAATGTACATAAATTATTGTTAGTTTTAAGTGGATAATATTGTAATAAAAACATTATAAATTATATAAATTGTAGACTAATAGTAGAACATACATAACTTGTCGAAAAATTGTCGATGTGATTGTAATGCTCATCAAACTTTATAACATTTTATGGACATTTTATGTTTCTGAAAGTATTCGATCCAAAAGCGACTGTAAAAGGTTACAATATATTGAACAATTATCTTAATACGATTTACGAAAGTCTTTTCATTCTCCGGAAGATTTGTTTTTATATATAGCAATAATGGATCAGTTTATTCCATCTGTTTTATTTAAGTAACAATACGTGCTGACTAAATTGTCTTTTTATTTACAATCTGTAAATAAAACAGATATTAAAAATACCCATGACGTTATGTTTACTGATTACATGTTTCGCTCATACTAAAATCACTTGTTCTGATGAGCTTGATCGCTTCGGTTTCATATTAGCTATGAGATAACAATAGCAATTTGATCAGACAAAAGGCACATGTTTATTCTGCATATCATATGATAGTGACTAAAATTGATAAGCCATAAATAAATGACGTAAGCAAAATGCAATGCATCATATCTCAATCTACGTGAAAATCATTACAAAAGCAGGTGCATCGAATAGATTGTACATTTCTACTGTATACATAATCCTACAACACTTATAAGATATGTATTTACTCTCTTCGTTAAATGGGAAGTCCTAATAAAAAAATAAATAATTGATGGATACTGCAATAATGCAACATTAATAGTATTAATACATAAATATTTCCTTTCTCTTTTTCTCAGCTATAAAGCGGAATTGCTGCGAGCTAAATTATCTTCTGCATAAAAAAAAACAATATAACTGCAATTATCTCATGTTTCACCTGCAACAATGCGATCAAAGATATGATAATCATAAATTTCCGTAATTATACTACGCAAAAAATAGTAATAATGTATATATCATTATCGTTGTAGATCGGCAAAGCACGTTGCAAATTGTCTCCGTTAAACGAGCGTTATTTCCAATTACGTCGAGCTTTGTCATAGTCCAAAACGATGAACGGCGTGATTTGGAGTAAAACGCAGAAAACTTTCGTGCCAATTTCCAGCGTGCCGATATTTGCCATGCTGCAACAAGAACGTCTTAAACAAAGTCGAGCACTGGAAACCCACAATTTCCAACTGCGCAACTTGACTCTAACATCTTTCCAGGTATATTATTTCCATAAAGCTCATCAAATGGCTGAATTTTTGAATATATCCTACAACTTCTCTACACTTCTCTCATTAAAATTAATATTCAATAACTAATAATAGTACGATAATTCTTATTTACAAACGTTTATATTATAAAAAATGTATGTATTATATATGCGAAGTTATCCATGAGTATTTAAACTTTATCTGTAACTTCAATTTATTGTAACAGAAATTTCTACGAAAGTAAAATTAGGTAATTAATAGTATCACGTGGACCAAGTACCTAATAAGAGAAATGTCGTATTTTTAACATGGCAGTTATGATAATGCAAAAAATAAATTTTTTTTCAATATTTTTGGAAACAATATTAATTATTTATTATTCTTACAACTTTAATAACGTGATATAATTTGCTAAATAATTACAAACTAAGAAACATAAACTGACAGCGACGATAAGTAAGACTGGATGACAATTTCTTCATGTATTTTAGGAACTGCGTTTCCTCGAATTTTACGATAACGATATGAAAGTTACAGGATTCTGCGGTGAATTGTGGACTCTTCTTTCTAAAAAATTGAATTTTACGTAAGATTAAACTGTAATTTAAACCGCAATTTATTGTATTAGAAGATTGTTGACGAAGCTAACGACAAATTACATGTAAAATCAAAGGATACTTCATATTCTTAGATTACAGCCAATAAGATCAAATGAAACTAGCCTGGGTGCACCATCGAAAGACAAGATGATTTTTGAGCGAGGATTATTGGGTATAATTACGCGCAATGAAACTATCGCGATTCCAAAAGTCGAATTTTCCAATCTTCGACGTCTAGCTGCTGATTTTACAATGCCTTTATGGATGAACAGGTAAGTTTTAAGTTTTCCGCTTCACGATGATATTTTCTAAAATGCTAAATAAAAAAGAAGCAATGTAACTTTTGAAAAAAAAAAACATATAACAACGTATAAAATTTATTCTTATAAATCCCTGGTTGTTATAACAATTTTAAAATAATTTTACAGCCACCGATTATATATTCGAAATGAGATGACACATGACAGCACATGGATGGCAAAAGTGTTCTCCTGGAAAATATGGTGCTTTATATTGGTTATGTGTCTATTATTGAGCGTATGCAGTTTTTGGTCACAAACTATTCTCGCACGGATCGGAAATAATTGCAGACGCTCGACCATTAGCGATCACATCTTTTACACCTTTGGAATGGTCTGCAATCAAAGTATGAATGATTAATATGAATATGTCTCATCCTATTTCTATTTTTTAACTGTAGCTAAATTAAAAGACAATGCAGATATCATATCATGTCACATTTATGAACATTGTGTGACATCTTTTGCAAAATTTTTATTTTTGTATAAAGTACGTGATTTGGAAGTCGGATTTTTAATTTTATAAGTGCTCCATAATTATTACGAGAGAAAGTTAACTTAATTTTAAAATAATACAAAAATGACGTGTTAATTGCGAAATTCTTGCTAAAATAAGATCATTTTTAATCGTGCATTAATGGAAAATTATTAATTTGTGTAATAATTGTAACAGGCAATATTCCGAATGTTCTCGTTGGAAGATCAAGAATATTAGAAGTATCGCTGGGCCTCTTTTGTTCTATATTGTCGATGGCATTTGGAGCTTTGTTATTCATTTATATAACAAAAAGGATTAACGTTATACCGCCATTCAATAACTTAGAATCTCTGCTGACCGATACTTCATATGACGTTGTCACTTTGGAAGGTTCTATTGCAGATATCATGTTTAAGGTATTAATATAATGCGTTTGATATAATTTATTTTGTGTTTATCAAATTCATTTATAATTTATCAATCTTCAAATTACATCAAGGCTGCGTTCCACTTAACGCTCGCAACGCCGCTCGCAAGCATCATTTCGTCCTTGTTTAACATTTGACAAACAACAAGGATGAAATAATTCCACGAGCGTTGCGAGCGATAAGTGGAATGCACCCCAAGTATATATGTACAAATATTGGCTATTTAAAAAAATTATAGTTAAGCCCTAGCGAACCTTATGCACTGGTAAGAACTGCAAAACGCGTCGTCGTTGCATCAACAGTCGAGGAAATGTTTAAATTGGCATGTATAAAAGGTAAAAAGAAGTATACCGTACTCCAAGGTGAAGACGAATATAAAGCAAGAGGTAAAATTGAATGTAAAGTGATCCCAGTTGGACAAGCTTACTTCAAAATGTGGGTAGCTTCTGGCATTGCGAAGAATTTTAAGTACAAACGGACCATCGACCTCGGGTAAAAAGAGATTATAATACCATTGTATATAATGCTAACGTGCTATGTAAACAAACAATTTTCATGTATACAGAATACTCAGATTGAAGGAAGTTGGATTGTGGGATGAGTTAGTAGATCGTTGGTTAACGGAAGAAAGTGAACGTCATTATAATGCTAAAGTAAAAGCGATTAAGATAGAGCAAGTTTCTTTAGTAATTTTAATGATGTGTTGTGGAATGATAACAGCTTTTATTATTTTGATAATTGAAAAAATTGTATATGCTTATCAACGCAGGCTATCGTAACTTTTCACTAATGTTATCACGAATATTTTACTTAATTTTACTTTATTTGCTCAAAAGATTTATCTACCAGCAGTTACTTAACTCACGTCTGAAAATTCTATTACATTTATGTGTGTAACCACAATTAATGCTGTAATAATTTAAAAAATTGTGATAAATAATAAAATTATAAATCAAACATGATTATGTATGAGTATCATTAGAATTTAATTTCTCTTATATGCTTTTATTTATCTTAATTACGTCATTTCATATTCTACAAATTACATAACTTATTGTTAGTTTTAAGTGGATAATACTAAAATAAAATAATTATAAATTATATAAATTATAGGCTAAAAGTAGAACACACAAAATTTGTCGAAAAATTGCCGATGTAATTGTAATGCTCATCAAAGTTTATAACGAAACGAGCATTTTATGTTTCTGAAAATATTTGATCCGAAAGCGATCATAAAAGATTACAGAAGTCTTTCCATTCTCCGAAAGGCTTCATTTTATATTGCAATAATGGATCAATTTATTTCCATTGCATCTGATGTTTCATTTTAGTAACAATACGTACAATACTAACTAAATTATCTTTTTATTTACAATCTGTAACATATGTTAAAAATGTCCATAAGGTGTAATTATTGATTTACATGTTTAACTTATTGTAAAATTACGTGTATTGATGATCTTGATCGCTTCGATCTTCGTATTAGCTATGAGATAACAAATCGACGCGCCATTATAGCAGAGAGCAAGCAATTTGATCAAGCACATGTTTATCCTACATGTCATGATAGTGACTAAAATTGATAAGCCATAAATAAATGACGTAAGCAAAATGCACTGCATCATATCTCAATCTACGTTAAAATCATTACAAAGCATGTACATCGAATACATTGTACATTTCTACTGTATATATAATCCTACAACACCTATAAGATATGTATTTACTCTCTTCGTTAAATGGGGAGTTCTAATTAAAAGATAAATAATTGATGGACACTGCATTTTAATGCAACATTAATACATATGCAGTTTCTCTTTTTCTCAGCTATAAAGAGAACTGCTTCAACCCATACAGCAGCTTGCAGTTAAGTTACAGAAACGTTGCAGCATTGCTGTATACAATATTGTAAAGTTGCTGCAATGTTACTGAAAGCTTTTGTGCTATGTGAGAAGTTAAATTGTCTCCTGTATAAAAAAAACAATTTAACTGCAATTGTCTCATATTTCACCGTAAACAACGCGATCAAAGGTATGATAATCGTAATTTCCATAATTATACCGTACAAGAAAATAATAATATATTTGTGAAACGAGCGTTATTCCCGATTACGTCGAGCTTTGTTATAGTCTGAAACGATGAACGGCGTGATTTGGAGTAAGACGCAAACTACTTTCGTGCCAATTTCCAGCGTGCCGATATTTGCCATGCTGCAATAAGAACGTCTTAAACAGAGTCGAGCACTGAAAACCCACAATTTCCAACTGCGCAACTTGACTCTAACATCCTTCTAATAGGTACGCTTCCATGAAGCTCAAATGGCTGAATTTTTAGATAAATCTTACGATATCTCTACAAAACTCTCATTAAAATTAATATTCAATAATTAATAATAGGACGATAATTGATTATTCTTATTTACAAACATTTATATTACGAAAAAATGCACCTATATATATGCGAAGCTATCCAAGAGTATTTAAACTTTATCTGTAGCTTTAATTTATTGTAACAGAAATTTCGAAGAAACTAAAATTAGGTAATTAATAGTATCACGTGGAGCAAGTAATAAGAAAAATGTCATATTTTTAACACGGCAGCTATAATAATGCAAAAATTTTTTTTTTATTTTGGGAACATGCCATACTATTTTTACAATTTTTGAAAGTTAAAAGAAAGTTACAGCACTCTGTAGTGAATTATGGACTCTTCTTTCTGAAAAATTGAATTTTACGTAAGATTAAACTGTAATTAAAACCGCGATTTATTGTACTAGGAGATTGTTAACAAAGCTAACGAGAAACTATTATGTATAATCAAAGGATACTTCATGTTCTCAGATTACAGCCAGTAAGATCAAATGAAACTAGCCTGGGTGGGTCATCAAAAAACCAAACCGTGTTTGCGGAAGGATTGTTAGGTATAATTTCGCGCAATGAAACTATCGCAATTCCAAAAGTCGAAATTTCAAATATTCGACGTCTAGCTGTTGATTTTACAATGCCTTTATGGATGAACAAGTACGCTTTAAGTGCTTCACACTATGATATCTTCTAAAATGCTAAATAAAGACGAAACAATGCAATTTTTGAAAAAAAAAAGACATGTAACAACGTATAAAATTTATTCTTATAAATCCCAGGTGGTTATAACAATCTTATAATAATTTTATAGCCAGCGATTATATATTCAAAATGAGATAGTACATGACAGCACATGGATAGCAAAAGTGTTCTCCTGAAAAATATGGTGCTTTATATTGGTTATGTGTCTATTATTGCGAGCGTATGCAGTTTTTAGTCACAAACTATTCTCGAACGGATCGGAAATAATTGCAGACTCTCGATCATTAGCGACCACATTTTTTACACTTTTGGAATGGTCTGCAATCAAAGTATGAATGATTAATATGAATATGTCTCATCCTGTTTCTATTTTTTAACTGTAGTTAAATTAAGAGGCAATGCAGATCGATATCATATCATGTAACATTTATGAACATCGTGTAACATACAACTTTTACCAAAATTTTTACCTTCTTAGAATTCACGTGGTTTGAAAGTAAGATTTTTAATTTTATAACTGCGCCATAATTATTACGAGAAGAAGTTAACTTAATTTTGAAATAATACAAAAATGACGTGTTATAAAGACGAAATCCTTATCAAAATAAAATGATATTTAATGTGTAACAATAAAAAATTATTAATTTGTGTAATAATTGAAACAGACTATTATTCCTGATGTTCTTGTTGGAAGATCAAGAATATTAGAAGTATCGCTGGGTCTCATTTGTTCCATATTATCGATGGCATTTGGAGCTTTGCTATTCATTTATATAACAAAAAGGATTGACATTATCCCGCCATTCAATAATCTGGAATCTCTAGTGACCGATCATGACGCTGTCATTTTGAAAGGTTCTATTTTCAATATCGCGTTTAAGGTATTAATGAAAAACGTTTGATATAATTTATTTTGTTTATATTAGATTAATTTATAATTTATTAATCTTCAAATTACATCGAATGTATGTGTAGATATTTGCTATTTAAAATAGGTAAACCCTAACAAACCTTATACACTGGTAAATGTTTAATGTAAAAGAGATTGTAAAATATTACAATATATTGAACAATTATCTTAATACAATTTACGTCATTTACGAAAATATGCGAATGGTAATTATGATTAAATGGTTTTTTAATTGACAGACTTATGATAGAAATAAGGCATGGTGATGGTTTGGATGACACCGTGCTAATTATTAGAATTATTAACGAATTAGATGAATACGATTACTTTGTATGATATATCCATCGACTGGCAAAATGCCAACATAACTAATCTACGTGCTATCAATTTTCGACAATAACGATATGTCTGTCCTCTGTCCATTAGATGATATCGATCCATTAGATAAAAAAAAATAAATCGCATTTTGCGATATGCGTATATCTCGTTCAAAACTACAATCTAATATATATTTTTATTCGTCTGATGTATCCTACATAAAATCATTGACGTGAAATTAGTTCAACGAAAAAGAAGTTCGCAAAGGATGGCTACGCGATTTGTTCTAACAGTCGCAATTCTTCATCTCATGATATGGGATTGTTACGCCGTGTCCGGGGTAATTTGGCACAAGCAACAGCAGAAATTCGTGCAGTTGTTCAGCATTCCGGAATTCGCTGCTCTTCAACAAGAAAATCTGGCTAAACGCCGGGCAACAGAGAAGCCTGACATGAGCGGAGAAGTGGTAAAAGCTGTGTATTACGAGGTGCGTACACGTGGGTCTGAAAAGATCAACGTACAGTTTTTCTTCCGCAAGATGTTGCAGAAACTTCTCACAGAGCTTAATGGCAAATTTTTGACAACCCTCCGTGTTGATCCAATTTATTAGACTAGCTTATAAGAACTATTAAAATCATTAAACAACGATCATGATAATTTCTTATGCTTATAGGAAAAAAATATAGTAATGTTTTACGACAACGATACGAAAGTCAACGGTGTTTGCGGCGACCTGTGGCATGTTCTCGCGGAATATCTCAATTTTACGTATGTTACGACAACATTTTTTATCGTAATATCGCATATATGTTTGAAATTTTACACTGTGCACTATTATTCAGTTCGTGCGCGAATGGAGTTTGCAAAGTATTACGTTCCTCAGATTCATCCCGATAAGAGTCACCAATCGAAATTTCGGTGAAAGACTGGAAAACGGTAGTCAGAATGGTTTAGTTGGCATGCTCGCGCGGAATGAAGCGCAGGTAATTATGAGAAGTGGATTCTATCCGTCTCGCTTCGACATCGTGGATTTTACAACGCCTCTTTGGAGAAGCAGGTAAGTTGGTATAGTCTTACTAATAAATTACGATCAAGAAACTGGCTCATCCGTGACAAATTTCAAAATTATTAGTCGAGAGTATAGTTCCCTTCCTGCTGTTGGCAAAAATCAGAAACAGGTCTTGAATTCTTTTACTTGCAATATATAATAATTATTAATAAATTGATGTTTTAGGTTTCACATTTATGTTCGACCGAAATGGCAGTTCAATAATACATGGGTATTTACGTTATTTTCGTGGCAAATGTGGTTTTATATACTGTTTCTGTTCATCATCTTAAGTTATGTCGGTTATTTTCTGCAAAAAGTACCGACAGACAAGCCCAAACGCAAAAGAAAAGGCTCCGTGGATTTCAGTCTAGGCGATCATTTTTTCTATTCACTCGCCATAATGAGCACGCAAGGTGCATACTTAATACAATCAAAGAAGAAATTAAGTAAAAGCGCGTTTATAAATAATTAACAAAAAATTGTCAGCTTATTTTCAGTAAAATAAAGTAAAAAAATTTTTTTGTTTTTATAGATTAAAACGTTAATTAAGCATTCCACAATTAAAGTTACGATAAGATAAAATAATCTGCGATTTTTTATAGGCTACGTACCCGACGCTTTTTACAACAAGTTCAAGATCTTGTCGCTGTCGAAGAGTATATTCGCATGGCTGATATTGTTAGCCTTTAGTTCACAACTCATATATCGCATGACAAATAGAAATTTGACGCTAGCATTTAAGGATGTAGAATCTCTCATTAACAATACAAAATACACCTTATTGGCGTTCCGTAGCACCTTCCTCTACAATTCTCTTAATGTAAGCGTCGAAGATTACTTATATCACAGTAGTATTTCAGCGATTTATATTTCGCACTAAAATCATGATAAAGTTTCCTTCCGTAATTTAGAACAGCACTTTTATCTTCAAAGCAAAGTAAAGAAAAGATAATATTGAGAATTCGATTGTTCTTAATTACTTTGTATTATACAACTTTGTAACTTGAAACAACTTTTACGAAACATAAATGGTATATACAATAATTTGTGACTTACTATTTTAGCATAAATATCGAGGATTGATTGGCAAACACGGTCCGACTGCGCGTGTGCGTTTTATAGAGACCGCGGAAAATATGCACGATAAAATTTGCAACAACATGACGAAATACGCGATGTTTGAGATTGAGGACCGATTTATGGCAATGAGCAAAAGCGGCTGCCCGCTGCAGGCCATTGGCAATTTCAATGAGACGTGGATAACGTTCGCACTCCAAAAGAACTACCCCTATAGGAAGACCATCGATACCGCGTGAGTACTGCATAAATTATCTTATTATTTGAGAAATTATTATTTTAAAGATTACATGATTGTCTTGTTTTTTTCCAGACTCCTCAAATTAAGAGAAATCGGATTGATAGATGGCTTTAGAAACTATTGGCTTAATACCAGAGTGGGGAATAGAGATCATGGAATATTTAAAACGATCGATTTGCACCAAGTTTATCTGATTTTTCTAATACTGAGTTACGGAGTGCTGATCTCACTTGTGATACTCGTTCTGGAAAATATAACGTATTATTACAAAAAAATGAAGAATTCACGGCCATATAGACGCAGATAATAACATTACTAAAATATTGAAAAAGAAAGATGTGACTAAAATTCAAATCTTATATTAACTTAAATTTTTAAAATCTATATTAACATCTTCGGCAAACTTTCCTATGCCTTTTCATGGTTTATTTCTTCTATTCCTTTATATGTATATATATATAAAACTTATCTGATAAATTCTTTATATATTTACAATATCTAAGTATTGTAAAAACAAAAATGACGTGCTATAATTGCGAAATCCTTATCGAAATAAAATGACATTTAATGTGTAACAATAAAAAATTATTAATTTAAGTTATAATTGACACAGGCTATATTCCCGATGTTCTTGTCGGAAGATCAAGAATATTAGAAGTATCGCTGGGTTTCTTTTGTTCCATATTATCGGTGGCATTTGAAGCTTTGCTATTCATTTATATAACAAAAAGAATTGACATTATACCGCCGTTCAATTAATCTGGAATCTCTAGTGACCGATACTTCATACGACATTGTCATTTTGAAAGGTTCTATTTTCAATAACGCGTTTAAGATATTAATGAAAAACGTTTGACATATTTTATTTTGTGTATAATAGAGAGATTAATTTATAATTTATTAATACTCAAATTACATCGAATGCATGTGTAGATATTGGCTATTTAAAAAATGTATAAGTAAATCCTGGCAAAGCTTTATGTACTGTAAATATACGACAAAACGATTCGTCGTTACACCAACAGTCGAAGAAATGTTTGAATTGGCATGTGCAAGAGGTAAAAAGAAGTATACTCCCCCCCCCCCCCCCCCCCAACCAAAAACCGAACAAAAAGGGAAAGACCAAATTGGATGTGAAGTGATCCCAGTTGGACAATCTTACTTCGATATGTGAGTAGCTTCTGGCATATTGTGAAGAATTTTAAGTACAAACGGACCATCGACCTCGGGTAAAAAGAGATTATAATACCATTGTATATAATGCTAACGTGCTATGTGAACAAGTAATTTTTATGTATACAGGATACTCAGATTAAAAAAAGTTGATTGTGGGATGGGTTAGTAGATCGTTGGTGGACGGAAAAAAGTGAACGTCGTCATAATGCCAACGTAGAAGCAATTGTGATAGATTAAGTTTCTTTAGTAATTTTAAGGTGGTTCGTGCATTTAGGTCAAATGTAGTTAGCCCGGAAAATGTGATATGAAATGAAAGATTAACGTTCCTAGAGTGTGTCTGTAAAATTTCGGATTTTTTAACCGTTTGGTTCCGGAGATATATGTCCGTAAACTTTGCCAATTAATTTAACGCGGGGGGGTAGCCCCTCTTGCGAAAAACGAGGCTAAAGCGCGTATGCTGCAAAAATTACAATACTTCAAAAATAGATGAACGAACCAAAAACTGACGAAACAATGCAATAAACATTTTGCAAGATACTGGACGAAGCCCGAGTTCATTGACCGTATAATAATAAAACGTAATTTTCGATTGACTAAATCGACAACACGGAACTGACAGCTGGACTCGAGCGGCATTAGCGGCAGCTTGGCAACGCATGTGTCAGCTGATGAGTATAGCGCATATCCCAAAACATTCAACGTTTACCATGTTCTGGACGCTGAATAAAGCAAAGAGTGAAACAAAAATTTTCGTCCATTTCTAAAAAGAATTAAAATTAAGTTTGATCAAGATCTGCAATACTGAATAAACAAGTTTTAATACATTGAGGTTATAAAATGTCCAAATAATTTTAACATGCATTGTTTATTCTATTTATCATAACGTTAATTGCCGCGCTGCTGTTGTACATATATTCACACGGCTCACAACACTAGTAAAAGATGTGACTTTCGTCTCAATATTTTAATTACGTAGAGGTCGTATATAACATTAAATATGACATAAATAATAAATGTAATTATATGCTGATTTTTACGGACAAAATTCACACTTATTTATCACTAATAAGAATAGTTGCCTATTTGACTTGCAAGTACTGCATGAACCACGTTAATGATTTGCTGTGGAATGATAACAAACAGCTCTTATTACTTTCATAATTGAAAAAATTGTATATGCTTATCAACGCAGGCTATCGTAACTTTTCACTAATGCTATCACAAATATTTTACTTAATTTTACCTTATTTGCTCAAAAGATTTATCTGCCAGCAGTCATTTAACTCATGTTTAAAAATTTTATTACATTTATACCATACATAAATGTGTAAACCACAATTAATCCTGTAAGAATTAAAAAATTGCAGTAAATAATAAAATTATTAATCAAACATGATTATGTATGAGTGTCACTAGAATCATTTTCTCTTATATGCTTTTATTTATCTTAATTACGTTATTTAATATTCTGTGAGTTATATAACTTATTGTTAGATTTAAGTGGATAATATTAAAAAGAAAAGATATATTATAAATTATATAACTTGCAGACTTACTTAATATAGTAGAATAAACAAACTTATCAAAAAATTGCCGATATGATTATATACTCATCAAACTTTATAACAAAACGGACATTTTACAATATGTTTCTGAAGATACTCGGTCAAAAAACAATTGTAAAAGATTACAGTACACTGGACAATTATTTTATATGATTTACGTCATTTGCGGAAATATAAATGGTATATGATTAAATAGTTTTTTGGTTGACAGATTTATTGTAAAAAGTAAGACATGGTTTAGATGACCCCGTGTTAATTAGAATTATTAGCGAATTAGATGAATACGATTACATTGCATGATATCCATTAGCTGACAAAAGGCCAACATAACTAATCTATGTACGTGCTATCGATCCTCGACAATAACGTAATGTCTGTCCATTACATGATACCGATCCATTACAGAAAATAATAAATAAATAGCATTTTGCGATATGCGTATAAATATCGTGGAAAACTGCAATCTAATATATTTTTATTCGTCTGTATTCTACATAGAATCCACATTGACGTGAAATTAGTTCAACGAAAAAGAAATTCGCAAGGGATGGCTACGCGATTTGTTCTAACGGTCGCGATTTTTTATCTCATGATATGGGATTGTTACGCCGTGTCCGGGGTAATTTGGCATAAGCAACAGCAGAAATTCGTGCAGTTGTTCAGTATCCCGGAATTCGCCGCTCTTCATCAAGAAATTCTGGCTAAACACCGGGCAACAGAGAAGCCTGACATGAGCGGAGAAGTGGTGAAAGCTGTGTATTTCGAGGTGCATACACGTGGGTCTGAAAAGATCAACGTACAGTTTTTCTTCCGCAAGATGTTGCAGAAACTTCTCAAAGAGTTTAATGGCGAATTTTTGACAACCCTTCGTATTGAGCCAGTTTATTAGACTAGCTTACAAGAACTACTAAAATCATTGAATAACAATCATGATAATTTGTTATGCTTATAGGAAAAGAATATGGTAATGTTTTCCAATAATGATACGAAAGTCAGCGGTGTTTACGGCGGCCTGTGGCATGTTCTCGCGGAATATCTCAATTTTACGTATGTTACGGCAACATTTTTTACGTATAATAGCGCATACATGTTTGAAAATTTACACTGTGTACTTATTCAGTTTGTGTGCGAATGGGGTTTGCTGATGATTATAAGTCAATAAAGTATTACGTTCCTCAGATTTATCCCAATAAAAGTCACCGATCAAATTTTCGGTCAAAGACTGGAAAACGGTACTCAGAATGGTTTAGTCGGCATGCTCGCGCGAAATGAAGCGCAAGTAATTATGAGAAGTGGATTCTATCCATCTCGCTTCGATGTTGTGGATTATACAACGCCTCTTTGGAGAAGCAGGTAAGTTGATATAAACTTAATAATAAATTACGATTAAGAAACTGCTCATCCGTGACTCATTTCAAAATTATTAGTCGAGAGTAGTTCCCTTCCTGCTGTTGGCAAAAATCAGAAACAGACCGGGAATCCTTTTACTTGCAATATATAACAATTATTAATAAATTGATGTTTTAGGTTTCACATTTATGTTCGACCGGAATGGCAGTTCAATAATACATGGGTATTTACGTTATTTTCGTGGCAAATGTGGTTTTATATACTGTTTCTGTTCATCATCTTAAGTTGCGTCGGTTATTTTTTGCAAAAAGTACCGACGGACAAGCCCAAACGCAAAAGAAAAGGCTCCGTGGATTTTAGTCTAGGCGATCATTTTTTCTATTCACTCGCCATAATGACCCCGCAAGGTGCATACTTAATACAATCGAAGAAGAAATTAAGTAAAAGCGCGTTTATGAATAATTAACAAAAAATTGTCAGCTTATTTTCAGTGAAATAAAGTAAAAAAAAATGTTTTTGTTTTTATAGATTAAAACGTTAATTAAGCATTCCACAATTAAAGTTACGATAAGATAAAATAATCTGCGATTTTTTATAGGCTACGTACCCGACGCTTTTTACAACAAGTTCAAGATCTTGTCGCTGTCGAAGAGTATATTCGCATGGCTGATATTGTTAGCCTTTAGTTCACAACTCATATATCGCATGACAAATAGAGAAATGACGCTGCCATTTAAGGATGTAGACTCTCTCATTAACAATACAAAATATATCTTATTGGTGTGGCGTAACAGCATCTTCTACAATTCTTTTGTTGTAAGCGTCAAATATTACTTATATCATAATAGTATTTCAGTGATTTATATTTCGCACTAAAATCATGGTAGTTTTCCTTCCGTAATTTAGAACAGCAGTTTTATCTTCAAAGCGAAGCAAAGAAAAGATAACATTGAGAATTCGATTGTTCTTAATTATTTTGTACAACTTTGTAACTTGAAACAACTTTTACGAAAAATAAATGGTATATACAATAATTTGTGACTTACTATTTTAGCATAAATATCGAGGCTTGATCGGCAAACACGGTCCGACTGCGCGTGTGCGTTTTATAGATATCGCGGAGGATATGCACGATAAAATTTGCAACAAGATGATCAAATATGCGATGTTTGAGATCGAGGACCGATTTATGGCAATGAGCAAAAGCGGCTGCCCGCTCCAACCGATGAGCAATTTCAACGAGACGTGGATAACGTTCGCACTCCAAAAGAATTACCCCTATAGGAAGACCATCGATACCGCGTGAGTACTGATTAAATTAACTTATTATTTAAGAAATTATTATTTTAAAGATTACATAATTGTCTTATTTTTTTCCAGACTCCTCAAATTCAGAGAAATCGGATTGTTAGATGCCTTTAGAGACTATTGGCTTAATACCAGAGTGGAGAATAGAGAATATGGAATATTTAAAACGATCGATTTGCACCAAGTTTATCTGATTTTTCTAATACTGAGTTACGGAGTGCTGATATCACTTGTGATACTCGTTCTGGAACATATAACGTATTATTACGAAGAAATGAAGAATTCACGGCCATATAAACGCAGATAATAACATTTCAAAAATATTTAAAAAGAAATATATGACTAAAAGTCAAATCTTATATTAACTTTTTAACTTCGGCAAACTTTCCTATGCCTTTTCATGGTTTATTTCTTCTATATTCCTTTATTCCTTTATATATATAACTTATATGATAAATTCTTTATATTTACGATATCTAAGTAACATCATATAAAAACAATATGTAAAACACTCAACTCTCAGTATTTGTATTGAAAATCACGACACACGTAAAATTTATTTCGATCGATCTGCTCGCATTTAATGACGACATGTGCCGTCAAAGCATAAAGTAGTCAAAGCATGATGGCATTTCGTATTGTGCGATAACGACTAAAATTGATTTGTCACGGGTAAATTATGTAAACGTAATATAAAATCTGATATTTCTTGCGCTAAAAAAAGAGAGAGAGAGAGAGAGAGAGACAGAGAAGGCAAACGTATTAAATAAATTCTATACTTTTACGGTGATTCTATTTTATCATTATTATTTAGTTCATTTGCTTAGATTTAAAATGTACTTTGCACGATTACTTTTTCATATATTTGTCTATATTCAGAAAATAGAAAATACATATGAAAGTAAAATATAATAATCTAAGGACGCGATTTAAAGCAAGATCTTATCTAAAGTAACGTGATGACACATCTCTTTTTTCATCTAATCACAGAAATCAATCCAATCATGATAAGGGCTTTCCTTCTTCCTTTAATATTGATCGTAAATTATATGTCAACGAACATATAATAAAAATTTCGAATTACGCCACCCAATAAAGTAGCAATCTTGTAAATCTTTGTAAAGCATTAACAGCGCATCCATATTATATAAAGGCGACTATTACTTCTGGCTATTATGTATGGAGTTTTGTCATTGTCCGAGACAAAAACATGAACGGTGTGATTTGGAGCAAGACACGGAAAACTTTCGTGCCAATTTCCAGCGTACCGATTTATGCCAGGATGCAACAAGAACGCCTCAGACAGAATCGAGCACTCGAGATCCACAATTTTCAATTACAGAACTTAACTTTAACATCTTTTCAGGTATGTTATTAGAAAATATCTGATGGTTATTGTCGATATTTCCTTAATTTACACAATATTGAAATTTCTGTTAAAATTGATTCTTTAATATTCGCTTAATTTAAAAAATAATTTATATCTAGAAACTTATATTATAAAAAATTTAAATATTGTTTATATTGTTAAATATTTAAATTTATTGAATAAGCTATGAGATCTCTCTTTGAAAAGAAAGAAAAAGGTATATTTTCATATATTTTTCTTCAATTTTTTGTAATATTTGAAACGGTATCTTAAGTTTCAATATTAAAAAACGAGATTACAGGAATCTATGAGAAAAATAATTGGATATCTGATAATATAATAATAAATTAATGCTAAAATTATATTCTTTTTAATTTTAATTGAGATTTCTTAATAATCACAAATATGATGGCCATGATATCATGAAGAATACCTATTTTTACATTGAAAAAACATTAAATAGACGTTATTTACTAAGAATATTAAAGAGAATACTAGAGAATACTAAGAATATTAAAAATTTTAAATTGAGTTAAATGATAATTTCGTCAATTATATATTTCAGGAGCCGCATTTCCTTCAGTTCTACGATAATAATACGAAGATTACAGGACTCTGCGGGGAAATATGGAACTTACTTTCCGAGTCGCTAAATTTTACGTAAGACCATACTCGGCTCGAGAGAACAGATTGTTGTGTTATAAGATCAAACATTAACATAACTTGTAACCAAAAGATACCTTTAGATTGCAGCCAGTGAAAGTAAATATAGACGGCATGGGCATGCCGGAAGAAGACTTGACTTATAAACACGGATTATTAGGTATTATTTTTCGCAACGAAACCGTCGCGATACCAAAAATAGAAACATTTAGACCGCGACTTGCGGCGGTCGATTTTTCAATACCTCTTTGGATAAACAGGTCAGTTGGTGATCACCAAACTTGTTAAATGTTTATTCGATAATTGATTTAATATTTATTCAAATCTCAAAATAGTAGTTTAATAGGAATTAAATTACATCACACAATAACTGATAGTTCTAAAATAATTTTATAGAAATCAGTTATATATTCATCGCGAAATGATATATGACAATATATGGATGGTAAAAATTTTCTCTTGGGAAATATGGTGCATTATACTGATTATGTATATACTACTGAGTCTGTGCACTTTTTTGACACAAAATATTCGCAAGAATATCTTATGGAGTAAAGATAAATGTAAAAACGTGTCTTTCAACGAACACTTATTTCATAACTTTGGAAACCTCTGCAATCAAGGTATGTCTGAATGAATCGATTAGAATATTTTATTGTTATTCATTTTCGTTAAAAAATAAAGTAAACGCACTGTAAGACAAATGTACACGTCATAATAAAATAAAATAGCAATTATTTAATATATTCAAGAGTTTAATAATTGACCTTAAAATTAAGATGGAAAACAGTTCTTCAGTTTTTTATAGTATTTTTCTATCTCTAGAATATGTAAAAATAATATATTGCAATAATATATATAATTAATAAATATATAAAGAGTTAATAATATCGAGTTAAAGTAATCTATTATCCTATTGATAATGGGAAATAATTAATTTGAATAATTGCAACAGGCTATACTCCCAAACATCTTAAAAAATCGAGGATATTGGAAGTGTCGCTGAGCTTCTTTTGTTCTATAATATATATGTCATTTAGTGCTCTGTTATTTATTTATGTAACGAAAAGTATTTTCGTACCACCATTTGATAGTTTCGAGTCTTTGGTGGCTAATACTAAATACAGCGTTATCAGTCTAAAAGGGTCAACTGGAGATATCGGATTTAAGGTACATATACTCTATTGATAATGTACTGTATTGACATTATAATTTATTAGTCCTCAGATAAAAAATGTAAAAAATAAAACAACATAAAAAATAAATGTGTAAATCTAATTTAAGAGAATATAAAGATCATAATTTATGTTGAGATTCCACACATTCGATTTTTTTGTGCATAAAATCTAAATGCCTGAGTACTTAACATATAAATATACTTATAGATACTTAATTTGGAACCAATTGTACAAGCAAGAACGGCAAAACGCTTGATTATAATACCAACAATTGAGGACATGCATAAAATGGCATGTTCCTCGAAGAAAAAGAAATATGCCATATTTCAAGGCGAAGACATGCATAAAGTGAATGGAGCTATTATATGTCATTTGATTAACACTGGAAAACCTTTATCAAAAATATGGGTAGCTTCCGGCATCGTGAAGAATTTTAAATACAAAAGAACCATCGATCTTGAGTAAAAAAAAAATATCTATACAAAATATAAATATTCTAGATAAGCTTTGGGAATTATAGAAATTATTAGCATCAAACTAACAAACCCTCTTAAATCAATTTAATCAATATTAAAATGAAAATCGTTTAAATAAAAGAAGATTCTTATATGTTTTTATTGTAATTTTTATCGTAATTAGATTCTAATTTTTTTTTTTATTCTAATCATATTGATAATTCTAAATTATTCATATCTTTTATTCATAAATAGTTGAGGTATATGTATATTATTCATCAATAGAGATCTCTGCTTAGCAGCACATCTAGATTGTGATAATTTCATGTATTAACAAATAATTTTGATAAATAGGATACTTAAGTTAATGGAAGTTGGACTATTGAGTTTGTTAAAAGATCGTTGGTTGGAAAAGAGAGTTAAACAGGATTACGACGATGACAAGACGCCGCAAGCAATTGAAATATATCAAGTTTCTTCAGTAATCGCAGTGATATATTGTGGAGCGATTATTGCTTTCACTATTCTCATAATCGAGAAAATTGTATTTGTTTATAAATTAAAGAAATTGTGATTACTTTTACTTATATCTCTTATATCGCGATATATATGGCTTCACTTGCAAGCAATAATTTAATTAGTTCTAGAAAATTGCTAAATCATAATCAATTTCGTAATCACTAATATTATAATAGATATACAGGGTATTCGAAAAGTGTGAGACCCCCCTATTATCTAAAAAAAAAAATGCACTTTTACGGAAAATGACTCGAACAAAAGTTGTAGAGATCGTAAAGTACTGTCGTGTAATGATAATACTTTATGACCCCTACAACTACTTTTGTTCGAGTCATTTTCCGTAAAAGTGCGTCCTTTTTGAGATAATAGGGGGGTCCCACACCCGGACCCGGGGGCTAGTGCGCGAGGCATTTTCCTCTCCTCCACGGAAACAAAAAAAAAAAAAAAAGGGGGGGGTCCCACACTTTCCGAATACTTCGTATAGTTGTAATTGTAATAATATTTCTTAACGATCAAAACTGAAATAACTTTGGGAAAGTAATACATGTACTGATACAAATTTTGCTGGAATATAAATGCACCTTAGATTATTGCATAAATTGCAATATATTTTATATTTTAACATCATACAATATAATATAAACATTAAGTAAACAGTTTACATACGTATTGCAAATTCATGAAGATTGTGCACTTGTCACATCCTTTGGCGTATCTTCTGTTAATGTAGCTTCTACGGGATGCGGTTCAGTTGGCACGGGATCGTGTTTTTCTTTTGGTAGAACATATGTGCCTTCCGCTATGTCCGTCGGAGCCATCCAGGATGGTATAATCTTACCATGAATTCGCCATACGCCGTACTCATTAGCTAAATGCTTTTCAAATACTATGTATTCTAATACGTCTTTCCTCAGAATTTCGCTCCCTTGTATGAGACGGCCAAATCTATCGTAAATTGCTAAAACCTGTAAATCAAGAGGAAATTTTCGCATAGTTGTTTTGTGTCATTAAAAAAATGAATTATAAAGAATATTGAACGTTATTGAACCTGTTGCGTGTGGAATCGGACAGTAAGTTGTGCAAAAATGTTGTCTTTTGTTAGTACACTTGTAGTTCTTGCGTGCACGAGACGGGCCGGTTCCAAAGACTCTAAAAACTTCCAGTGTATAGTTTTGTCCGTCATATTGTGTGTTATTTTCTAAAAATGCAAGAAAATAACGTAAGTAACATGATGTTACATGATAATATAGCAAGGACACAAAATACATTTTGAACACTTACAGGATATGCCATTTCTGTAACATATTTTATTATCTCATCTTCATTTTTGCTGTAAAAAAATTTTTGTTTTACTTAGTAATATTGCTACAAAAAGTAAAGAAAACACGCTCTATGTATCGATTGCAATAACTCCTTTAACTTAATGTTTGCACTTATAAAAGACATAAAAACGTTATGTATTTGTCATTTCTCTCTTACGCGGCTAAAGCTTCATGTGCCTTTTGATAGATATCCAAGGCCTCTTCTAAAAAATATGCTGTACTGAATGAGTCATCAAACGATTTAATTTTTCTGACGGCCATTAAAGATTTGCTCTTTTTCTCCAAAAATGTAAACTTTTGCTTTGCTCCCTATATTTCAATTACAGAGTAAATAATTAAAAACCACACATTCTATATTATATTTTAAAACTAGCGAAACATTATGTATAATTATGTATTATTGTATATCTTGTACTTTGCACAAATTAAAGATACAATATAAAAGGTAAGAGCAAAGAACGTGTACCTCTTTGGTAATGGCAGAATACTTTCCATCTCCTTCTGGAGCAACGTAGGACTCGAAAATTGTTGAAGTAGAACTAATATAAGCTGGTCTTTCGTTCCAAGGTTTCTGCGGCAAGAAACCATGTTCCTTCATACGAGATCGTATTTCCTCCTTATCCAGTTTAGTAGGATCGTCATCCTTTTCTTCAAACGAAGGAAGTTTTATTTTAATAACTTTTTGTCTCCTTTCCTTCTTCCATTTTGGATTCCAGTGCTTAGCTATTTGCGCTACTTGTGTAAAGTTGGGGGAATTAATAGCAGCAACCAATACCGGTAGATTGTTCTGAAATAAATTTCCAGCCATTTAAATATGCATTTGGATAAATAATTCTCTGACTACATTCAAACACTACATATTCCTAATTTATTTATATTTTTTTATTTAAGATATCTCCTTAAAAGCTAATAATTTAAATTTAAACTAAACTAGCTTTCAAAAAAAATGGAGTAAAGTAAGTTGGAAGAGATTGCTTTACAATTTCAAGGAAGACTGTGTCAATCTAAAAATTCTATGTGGCACTCAATAAACTTAAACAGTTAAATAAGAAACAATTAAATATGTTACTGTATATTTCATTAGCTTTCAAAAAATGGAGCAAACACGTACCTGTACAAATTTTCCGTAAGTAAACATCGGACTCACGCATCTTAACAACATTTTCGGAAATTTTACTATTTCAGAACTGTAGGAATTACAAAAAGAAAAAAAACGATTATTCAGCGCGTGTTTACTAATATTTTCATTAAATCTCGTGTTTATGTTTCACGTTCACGTTTCAGGTTATAGTTATAACACGCCGCGAATGATCGCCGACCGTGGACAACACACTACACAGATATATGATATATGACCTTTGACTATAGCAGAGAGCACACACTTCTGCATATGATTGGTCCATATGCATCAATATATGGGTGCGTTCCTTTTGGGCGCTCACGCGCTCACACGCGCTGTAAGCATCATTCTATCTTCGTTGCACATCGAATATCAAACGAAGATAGAGCGATGCTTACAGCGCGTGAGCGCCCAAAAGGAACGCAGCCTATGTATGTACATGTGCATAAGGAAATAGACCTATCAATTTTCTTAAGCTGCGATTTCATTGGGCGCGTTCAGCGACACAACTGTTGAGTTCGTCTTATCAACACTCTGCGTTGATTGGTTGGTTCTAAAAGTAAGAGCCAATCACGTTCAACTGCTACTGAACGCCTTGGTCTGCTGAACGCGACCATTGACGCGCCTAGAAACCAGCGGCAAATATAAATAGTCACGTAACAATTTGCCGCTCGTCTAATGGGGGGAGAAGTAAGCGGCAAAAGCAAAACGTGCGCGTCGTGAAACCGCCGCTTGCGACTTGCGATAACAGTTCCTATATATCATATATGTCCAACAAGGTTATGTATGTCTGAGTATTGACAGGTTTCCTTCAGTTAATTGCTCATTTCATTGTGATAATGTGAATTGTGTAGTGATTAAATTAAAATTTTTATCAAACTTGAACATAATGGCCTTCATGCAGAAATATCGTACATGGGTGACAGAACGTGCGAGGCAGGTGAATAATGCTCAAGAGGAACAACTCCTGAATGACATACTACTAGTTGTCATTGTGCATGAAATATTGCGGATGAATTCAGAGGAGAAAAAGAAACGGATCTACAAAAAAAAGCGTTTTTGGGTACATCCTATATTTAGATTGAGAAATAAGTATGGGTTTTACCATGCAATATATCCAACTCTATCGAGGTATAAACCTAAGTTTAAAAACTATATGCGGATGTCATTATCGCAATTTGAGGACCTGCTGAATTTGGTTGCACCTCATATCACAAAACAGAATGTGACTCGAGATCCCATACCTGCTGCAACACAATTATCTATGACATTAAGGTAAGCTGGATATGTTAAATCGAATGTGTTCTTTCCATAAGGACAATATTACATACAGAATCTTTTTTCAGATACTTGGCTACTGGTGATTCAATGAACTCCATGTCATACCAGTATCTTGTTGGAACTACGATAGTGTCAAACATTATTGCCGAGACATGTGCAGCATTATGGGATTGCCTTGCTAAAAAAGTGCTT